ACGCACTAAATATCCGAGCTTACTAAATCAAATGCGTACTCCAATTATTGAGCATTTTCTTAGGAAATGGGCTACACGGCGTGCACAAAAATTGTACCGTTAGGTACATACAACAAAAAACGTGCGTAGCAATGGAATTCTGTGCTCACAAAAGTATTTTGCTTTTTATACCCGAGCGCACTTGTGCACAAGGGTATTATAACTTTGTTCACATAACGGTTGTTTGTAACAGGCAAAACGAATCGAGATAGATATAGACAAATGTATACATAAATGATCAGAATGAAAAGAGAAATCGATTAAGCGGTGACTGTCTGTCCGTCCGTCCGTCCGTCCGTCCGTCCGTCCGTCTGTGCACACGATAACTCGAGTAAAAATTGAGATATCTTAACGAAACTTGGTACGTGGACTTCTTTTGGGCATAGGACGGACGGTATTGAAAATGGGCGAAATCGGACAATAACCACGCCTACCTCCCATATAACGGTAATTTTCAGAAATACGAAAAGTGCGATATTTTAGTAACTACTGAAGATAATTCACTCAAAATTGATATTTACAATGAGTTTTAGACGAAAAATAAGAATATTAAAAAATTTTGGCAAATGGGCGTAGCCACGCCTACTTATGGTTACATGTGTATATCTTGGTAACCGCTGCACCAATTTCTTCCAAACTTGGCACAGTTGTTGGTCCTGCTACAATATACCAAATGGCCGAAAATTTTTAAAATCGCACAATAACCACGCCCACATCCCATATAACGGTAATTTAGAAAATTACGAAATCCTCGATAAATCAGTAAATATTAAAGCTAATTTATTCAAAATTGATGGTTGCAACAATTTTTTACCAAGAAATACGCTTATGATACAATTTTGGAAAATGGGCGTGGCACCGCCCACTTATGATCACATATATGTATCTCGCTAACCGTTCGAGCAATTTGAACCAAACTCGGTATGGTAATTGTGTTTGCCACATAAAAGCAAAGCGTTGAAAATTATTGAAATCGGACTTAAATTACGAGCGCTTTTCATATAACGGTATATTTCAGAAATGCTTGAAACTGCAATATTTCGAAATTTAAGGACGCTAATTTGCTTAAAATTTATACACGCCGGCTTATCGTGTAGCGGTAGCTTTCGGAAAGGTGGAAAACATATATTTAATAATTGCGCCGGGTATTTAATGTTCGGCTCCGCCCGAACTTAGACTTTCTTACTTGTTGTTTTTGAAACCGTTACTGGGCGCAGTTTCGTTTGTTTTTCTATTTTCGCTGAAGTGGTGGTTACTAGTGCGTTTTATCATCAATTTTGCTAGTGACTGAATTCATTTCATTTGCAATTGTGGTACTGTGCACATCGAAAATGCCAAAGGGTAAAGAATTAACTACAGCTGAAAAAAAGATTATTTTACACCTTCACAATGAAGGCAAACCTACGAGATATATTTGTAATATGTTTAGTCGATGTCGCCAAACGATCGAAAACGTAATTCAACGGTGTAAACAACGCGGTAATTTAGAAAATATAACGCGTGTTGGTCGACCAAAGTTGCTGACAGTGAGAGAAGAACGCCAAATATTAAAAGAAAATCGCCAAAACCCACATTTATCAGCCCCAAAAATTAATGACAAAATAAAGGCAACCCTTCACACTCAAGTATCCGATGAGAAGGTGCGCAGAGTACTCAGAAGTAACAATATCCACGGTCGTGCAGCGCGGAAAAAGCCACTAATTACAAAAGTTAATAAAGAAAAGCCATTTCTATTCGCCAACACCTATAAAACAAAAGGTTTTGAATTTTGGAAAACTGTGATCTTTAGTGACGAGAGCAAATACAACATTTTTGGACCGGACGGTCGTCGTATGGTATGGCGGAAGAAAAATGAGGAGCTGCGAATCAAAAATATTAAATCCACTGTTAAGCACGGCGGAGGTTCTGTCATGGTGTGGGGTTGTATGTCGGCTCAGGGAGTTGGAACACTAGTGTTTATAGATGGAACGATGGATAAACATCTTTATTTGTCCATTCTCATGGACAACTTACATTCCAGTGCTGAAAAAA